CGCGGACACGAACGTGCCCGCGTCGAGGATCCCCCGGCGTTGCGCCGGTCCAAAAGTGGTCGCACATGCGCCGCGCCGTCCAGTGCAGGTGGCTCACCATGTCGACGACGGCTGCGGACCCGAGCGTCTGCTCGATGCCGTCGTGGACCGTGTAGGTCCAGTCGCCCAAGTCGCAGGCGTCGACGTCGGGCCGGTCGCAGCCGAGGCCCGTGAGCGGGCTCGAGCCGTAGGCGAGCACGCGCAGCGGCCGCCGCGCGTCCGCGGCGGCGGTTGTCGCCAGCAGGGGCAGCAGCCCCATAGCGCAGCGGATCTGCCCCATAGCGATTGATTGTACTGCACTCAAACATGTTAACAAGCTCAATATCAGCCTGCACACGGCGGAGGGCATGGCTGCGCCGGCGCGTGGAGCTGCCATTGCGCTGTTGCGCGCTCGCGGAGCTCTGCGACGCGTCGCCGCGCGACACGCGCTGAGCACGCTGCCCACGGCGCGCTACGAGGCGCTCGTGGCCGACGGCGCGCTGCGCCGCGACGACCACCAGTTGGCGGCCCTGCGGACCCTGGACCGGGTCTGGAAGGAATTGGAAACCTACGAGCCGCCGAACGTCCGCGAGGAGGCCGCGACGCTCGAGAAGGAGGCGACGACGGAGACCTTGGGCCAGCGCTTCGCGGCCTTCGCGCAGGGCCTCGGCATCGCGGTCGGCGGCGGCACGGACCGGCCGAGCGGCGCGTCGGGCCCCGTCGTGAGCCGCTTCGGGTCCAACTACGACTACGACGCCGAGCGGCCGCGGGCGAAAATAATCGAGGCGGCGCCGCTCCTCGGCCTCGATTCCAAGGCGCCCGTCGGCGCGTACGTCCACGGCGGCGTCGGCTGCGGGAAGACGTATGTGATGGACCTCTTCTTCGACGTCGCGCCGACGCAAAACAAGCAGCGCGTCCACTTCCACGCCATGATGCTCGACGTCCACGGCAAGCTCGACGCGCTGCGGCGCCGCGACGGCCCGCCGCACCCGAACCCGATGCGGGCCGTCGCGCTCGACGTCCTGCAAAACGGGTCGCTCCTCTGCTTCGACGAGTTCCAGGTCACGGACATCGCCGACGCGCTCGTGGTCAAGTCGCTCTTCGAGCACCTCTTCGACAGCGGCGCCGTCGTCGTCGCGACGAGCAACCGCGCGCCGAGGGACCTCTACGAGAACGGCGTGCAGCGCCAGGTCTTCGAGCCGCTCATCCCTGTGTGGAAATCAAATCTTCAACCCGACTTCAATGTGCGCGTATTCGAATTTTGACACAAACACTTCCGCTGCGCTTCGAGAACTCGCTGAGAGCAATCGATCCGTCCAAAAATCAGCCGAATCGACTTCGATTTGACCGAGCTAGAGAGTTCTGAAGTTTGGTGGGGGCCCCCAAACCAGTGGTTGATTTCCACACAGGCTCATCCCGCTGCTCGAGGCGCGGTGCGAGACCGTGTCCCTGGACGCGTCGCCGACGGACTATCGCTTCGTCATCGGCGCGTCCGGGAGCGCGGACGTCTACTTTCTCGACGACGACGTCGGCGGCTTCGAAGACTCGATCGCGCGCTTCACCAAGCGCGGGGACCGCGTCGTCGCCATCGACCTGCGGATCCCGGGCTCGACGCGCACGGTGCCCGT